TCTCTTCTTTTTTATTCTTGAGCTGGAGGGAGTGATAGAAGAGAATCGCATAAACTGAAAGTTTGAATAGGAAAAATACAATTCAGATCTCTCTCCCCGTTTATCATAAAATGATTCTCGATTTGACGATGTCTTCGCCCGTCATCACCCTAGCCTCCAACTCATTTGTTTTTCCATATTTCTTTTTCTCCACAAATCTTAACAATCTAGGAAGAGGTTGAAGATTCTGTTTTGAAAAAAATATATATATAATTGTGTTCAGAGATTAATGTAGAAAGGAAGAAATGTGAAAAAGAATGGGTAGAAAATTAATTTCAAAGTGTATCTTTATGTCAAAAAGGACAATACTTATTTTTTATAAAGCGGTCCAAAATTCTCAAACCAAAAACTTTAGGTTACATAAATGACAACTCCTCGAATTATTCATTGTCCATTTCCATACCCTAATAATTATCCCTCATTTTTCCTAATTTTATTTAAAAATTTCACGGTTTCAATAGCTAGCTGTATTGTAGTAGTTTACAAATTTTCTCAGCAAAACTCATTATTGTACGTTTGTTTTTCAGCAAAAATAATTACTCGATTTATTTATTATTTTTTTCCCAAACATAGCTGACAATGATCATTGGCCCTTATTTTTCAGTTTAAATTTCTTCTCTTTATTTAGAGTTACCGCACACCCACCAGCATGCCTCCTACACCACGCCACTGTCTACGCGTATGCACCCTCCAGCATACCAGCCGCTTGTCTCCACGAACTAAAACGGCGTGCGTGCCTGCACCCTTGCCCCCGCACACTCATGCCCTCACCAGCGTTCATTGCAACATGCAAGCCTGCGCTTCCAACTGCTTGCATGCCTACTGCCTTAGCCTTGGGCGCCCGTCGACACCCATGACCCTATGAGCACCAATGCATGCCCACATCGCGTGGCCCTGCGCTTGCCCGCACCCACATCCACCTACCTCTGCCACTAAGCTACTGATGCAATAATTGTCGTCCAAGGGACCTAGCCGCCCTTTTCATTTTAGGAAAACTCTTTTTACTTATTTGTTTGAAGATAACATTATTTTGTTTAGATTTTTCCTTCAGCTTTATTTTAAAGAATTATACTCTTTATTAGTTTTAGGCAAGTATTTTCGAGATTCGGGAATAATTTTTAGCATATATGACATTTTCTATTTTCTTTTATATTTTAGGGTTTGTTTTTATTTTAAAATTTTTCTTGTAAGGGCCGATGACCTAAGCCTATAAATAAGCTCCCTTATAATCTTTTGAAAATAGACTTGAATAGACGTTGAAATATAATTGAGAGACTTTTCTCCCCACTCCTTTGCATTTGTGCAACCCTGGTGTATTCCTTGGTGTGATATACTAATTAGGATGCATATTTTAGAAGCATTGAAGCTTTGTTTGTCTCCAAGCTTGTTGAATGTTTGGACAATGAGTATATTGGGTAATATGTCCTACTCTGGTATTTGTGACTAAACGTAATCTATCTATCTAACTTTTTCCTTTTTAGTTCAACAATTTATACGATTATGCTGATGCAGGATTCTGTCGAGCTACTGAAGGTCGTCCACGTGGTAACGAGGATGAATTGGCAAGGTGCGACCTTGAGCATGAGGGATCTGCAAAATGAACAAACACTATGGCACTCGAGTTAAAAGAGGCGTGAACTATGGTAAGTCATTCTCGGAGTAGAATTGCGTACCTGAGTCACGAGGCGGAGTGTCCTTTCTGTAGGTAGGGGACAAGACCGTTACCATTACAATTGCTCCGACAAGCGGTTGTGGCCGTTGGACTCCCAGGTCGGTTGTCAGACATGAGGTTGAACTCCTCAAGTCGGCTTGTGCTAGATCTACATTCGAACATATAGTGTGGGTACTTAAAAATAAGACTCACGTAGCATGGCTAAAAACTGAGAGATAAAAAGTAAGATAAAAAGGATGCTAAACTACATAGACTAAGTCAAAAGGACGTTAGCCCGACATGGAAATTAAAAATAAATAAATAAATAAAATTAGCGTCCTTTTTATCTTGTCCGCATTGTTTCCTCCGTATTTTTTTGTCTGACATTATTTTCTCCATGTTTTTTTTTTGTCCGACATTAAAACTCAGATTCCGAGTTCGAACCTACCAAAGAGGGGGTAAATGTTGGAAGGAAAAGTACAACGTGACATGTGGACCTAACAACTCAGCTCGTGATCACCAGAAACGGTCAACAAGGCGAACTAAGAAAACTAAGGACCAAGCTGTAAACCGTAATCAGGGAGATTAGCCTAAGTTCCCTAGAACCTAATCGCCGATCAGAGCAGTTCCAACGGCCTTGCCCCCCCCACCCCCCAATCGCTCATAAAAGGGACGCTCCGCCTCTTCGCTTAGGTACGCAACTCTTCACCGTGAACGATTTACCGTAGCTTGTGCATCTTCTAACTTGAATGTCGGAGTGTTTGTTCCTTTTGTAGATCCCTCTTGCTTAAGGTCGCACATCGTTAGCTCGTCCTTGTTGCCACGTGGTCGATCTTCGATAGCTCGGTAGAATCCTGCATCAACAAGGGCAAACCAGTATAAACTCTTTGGTGTTAAACTTTTCTATCCCTATCTTCTATATATTTTTTTTTTTTACTATCACTTTATCTGTGATATGTTTTATCCCATAGAAGAGAATATTAATTGTGATACGTTTGGTCCCGTGAGGGGGGAATATTAATTAGGTCTTGATTGGATAACTCTATTTGGAAGATAAGAGGAGGATTTTTTTTCCTCCAACAAATCATTTTATAATATAAAAATTGGAATTTCATTTTTAATTTGTTGAGATTTTTAACCAAGGACTAAATTGTTATAAATTTTAAGACTAAGTTGTTACATATTAAAATTAAGAGACTAAAGTGTTACAAATTTAAAAATATAAGCGGACTAAATCATTACAATTTAAAGTTTAAAGATAAAATTGTTAACTTTAGTAAAATTACAGGAACTAAAAGTGTTTTTTAATCGAACCATTATCAGATAGACTAAGAATTATTGATTTTTAGCAATTGTGTTGTTTCCTCGTTGTAAGGAGTGAATTCTAAGGGTTCATTTGGTGAACGTTCTCCTTTCTTATTTCTCATTTCTAATGTTTGTAATGAACGTAATCATTTGAGCTATCAAGATTCATGGGTTCAATTTCAAAACCAATTGACTATGAGAAGAGTAGTAGATGGTTCTCAAGACGAGGACTCCTTTGGGCTCATAAATCTTGGCCTGACACCATTTTTTTTTTTGCCCTACACTTATGTCAACAAGATTAATTTATGTCATTGCCATGACAAAATATGATTGGTCAAATTCGAATGACTAGGGGAAAGACATGTGATAATTTATTTAGCCAAACATTTAAGTTTCTTTTAATTTAGAGACACTTTGTGGAACTTTGTTTGCTCTCAATTTTAATGACATATAATTTATTATTAGGTGGTGATTTGTGATTGATCAAAATCATCATTCAACAATGACCACGCTAAGATACCAACCTCAGCATTTTTTTTTTCAAGATTCATGCATTAATTAATTAAAGTTTTTTAGTATGTTGTTAATTTTATTTAAATTTAACATGAATATTTATTGGATTTTACCTTAATTTTATAACAAATAGAACTATCATATTTATTTTTTAGATGTATTTTTAATGTACATAACTTCTTAGTAACTATTAGATAAACATGATTTAACTAAAAGATATATAACCTTTTAAAAATATTTGTATCCTCATAATTATAATTTATTTGAAAATTAACTTCATTACAAGAAATATAGTAATAATTTTCATGGATATCACAAAATAATTAAGGAACTTTTGATAATTGAGTAAAATATAAAATATTATTTTTTTTTTACAAATTAGAAATGCCTTAAATAATTTAAAGTTAAATAAAATATAAATTATATTATGTTAGTGAACATTTTTTGTTATTTATATTTTTATTTGGATATAATTTATATCCTTGTAAAAATAAAGTAATTGTATATGTTTAAAGTCAAATTAGTGTTGGGAGATGTTTCCTTCCCTTTTTTTTATTTCATTTTATAATTAAAACTGTTGCTTAATTTTTAAAATTAAAATTATTCTAATTTTAAAAAGGTAAATCAAAGAAAATATTGGGTTATTAAAACAACGTGGATTTATTGATATAAAATCTTATTAATATATTAATATATAAGAATTTAGATGATTTATTAAATAAAAGTTACTATAAAAATTAAAGATAGGCATTACAGTTTAGTTGTGCAGTACTTTTGAAAGGTTAAAGACGATTTTTGTTCACTGCATTTTCATTTTTATCTCATTTATTAAAAAATGAAATTTAGTATATAATACTTCACTCATTTGCTAAATTTCTTGAAATATAGCCATAGATTTGTACTAAAGGGTTCCATCCATCGTGTATAAAATTTTTGTTAAAAAATTTCAAATTAAGGATAAAAAAAATTATCATTTTCTAAAAGTAGAGGGACCAAATTAGAATAGTAATGAACAAAAGTTGAAAATACATAAACTAAAATAAACTAAAGCCAAAAATACCATGATCAAAAGAGTATTTTAATTATTAAAAAAAAACTAGAGGCTAAAATAGATCTTATGAAAGTTCAGGACCAAAATAAATAATTTACCAGAGTAATTTTGAAATAAAAACACAAATTAAGAGACCAAAATAGAATACGATTGAAAGTTAAGGACCAAAATGAAATGTAAATGCACTATTAATACGAGTCCGGTAGTCAAAGTGAGTATAATTCAACGGTAATTGACATATATCTTCAAAAGGTTGTGAGTTGGATTCCCCAACTCCGCATGTTACTAAAAAAAGAAAAAAAAAATACGAGTGGAGTCGAGTAAAGTAGTACACAAATTTAGTAGACCACGTGAAAGTTTTGAAGGTTTTCAATTCCAATTATTTCATAAATAACAACATACAAGATATTTCCAATCCCAAAAATTTGTTGGCCTCACATTTTATATCAAACACAAACAATTATTTGGATTGCGATTGGTATCAAAATATGAGTGGGGAAGAGAGAGAGAGATGAGAAGGGGCTGTTTAGAGAGAGAAGCTCTGCCGCTGGCGGCGATGGTTGCGGCGGAGTTCGCCGGCGTTGGGCTGACGATCATATTCAAAGCCGCCAGCTCGAAAGGGATAAGCAATTACGTGTTCATTGTGTACACATACGCCATTGCAGCCCTCTGTTTCTTTCCTTTTGCTTTCTTCTTCTTCTTCCAAAGGTAATTCATTACTAATTCTCTCTCTTCATTTCTTCTTCCACTTATTATTTTCTCTCTCTCTCTTGTAGATCATTTCATCTCCCTTATAACATTTCTTCCTACTTCATGATTCTCTCTCTCGCCGCTATTGGGTAAGAAATCAAACATCTATATCAAATAATCTCTAAGTCCCATGTTAAAAACTCTCAAAATGTGTCATTAAATTATTGTTTTTGTAATATATTCAGACACGTGGATACGATACTAGCTTGAAAGAAATATATTCTGTTGGTGAATGAGTTCGATTTTGCTTTAGACTGAGTTGAGTTGGGATTTGAATATGTTAATAAAATGATGTATCGACTTTTTTTTTTTTGACAAATTATATTTTATTAATTTTTTTTAAGAAAAGTAATCGAAAAGGTTAAATTTGATCTCTCTCATCCGTTTATCTATTTATAAACATATATATATATATGAAACTTCTCACATTAAATCTTCGTAACATTTCTTAAGGTAAAGGACTAAATAGAACCTAACTTTTAAATATTAAATATTAAAGTTTAAATTTTAAGAAATGCTTAAATACATGAATAAAATTAAAGTGCAGAGGCTAAATGAGATCGAATATATTTTTTAACATAGAAATTATTATTGGACAAACTATTTTTGGAGTGTTCATTGAATTTGTTGGTGTGGAAAATTGAAGGATTGGGTCTCAACTGTGTGGATATAGAGGACTGGAGATTAGTTCACCGGCTCTATCTTCTGTCATCAGCAACCTAACTCCGGCCTTCACTTTCATCTTTGCCGTTATTTTCAGGTCCGTCGTGGCCATCTACTCCTCCTGATTTCATATAAATTTGGTCCATACAATTTTAAACGTCAATGGAGTAAATTGTGTCTATGATACTTTTAGTTTAAAAATCTTTAAACACTTTTTTTAATATTTATGAACCTTTACAGTTCACTTCTTACCATGAGAATGTTCACCAAATTAACCTTTCTAAAAATTCTTTTTTTTCAAAATCACTCTTTCTATTACCATCCAAGTAATACCTTAAAAATAAATTTTAAGTACTTTAATATTTTTCTAAAATTTTAGTTTGCCAAACATGATTAATAAGAATGGGAGTGATTTTGACTTTCACGAACATATCAAAATCACTCCCAAACACACCTTTAATCTTTTTAAGTGTTTATTTAATCAATATTTATAAGTATGACTTTTTTTATAATATTTTTGTATTGGTTATAAAACACTTTTAGTCGTCTAAAATGATTTTAGTTGTCAAATATACCATTTTTTTTATCTCTATTTAATTTTTAAGTTAAAACTTTATTTTTGTTTCATTTTGAGAATACAATTGAAAATTTTATGCCCTTGTTTGGTAGGTAATTCAAATTCTATTTCTGCTTTTCTATTAATTGAATGTGTGTCTAATATATTTGTTTTTTAAAACTGTTTTCAGATTCTGTAATCTAAAGTCGTAAAAATTCTGAAAACAACACTTTTATCTGTTTTTAAATTTTGAATTCGAAACTTTAAAAGCAGAATATCATTAAAAAATAAAACTTTTGATAAATATACTATTGTTATAAATTATATGACATTATAAACCATAAAAATTTTACAAAATTTATAACATATTATGTTAATAAATTAATTGATATTATTTTATATTCAACTTATTTAGTTGGTAACTACTTATACTAGTTTACCAAATTGCGGTTCAACTTTCAAATTGTTACCCAAAAGTTTACTAAAAACATAACATAGAAAACAACCTTGTTTTCATTGAATGTCTTGTTTTCAGATTTCTGCTTCCAAATCACCGACTAAACGCATGATAGATTCAACTTACCATTTTTTTTTTATCTCAAACGTTGAGTTATCCTCACGTGTAAAAATTTAATTTTTGTACATTAAATTCTTTTTATTAATTCGTTAAAAGAAGCATAAAGTTATGACAAATTTTGTTGGATGTGTTATGGTGAAGGATTGAAAAGTTAGATTGGAGAAGCTCAAACTGCGTGGCTAAAATCATAGGCACAATAGTTTCCATGATTGGTGCTTTTGTGGTCGTTCTCTATAAAGGCCCAATGCTTCTACCCAATTCTTATAAAAAGCCTCTTCTTCTTCACCATCACTCCAACTCAGACTGGGTTTTGGGCGGCTTCTTGTTTTCTATTCAGTACCTCTGTTATGCCATTTCCTCCGTTCTTATGGTAATATTTCCTTCTATTTTACTTTTCGTGTTTCCCGTTTCTCGTTTTCATACTGTGAGATCGGTATGTGTTTTATAAGGCTCTACATTTTCATGGCTTTTCAGTTAACAAGAAACGTTTCTACAATTGTATATGCAAAGTTGAGAAACAAAATGGAAAAAAAACATTTTTTTGGTTCTTGAGACTTGAGTTAAATGTCTATTTGATTTGTGAAAAGTTGAAAAAAGACATTTTTCATTTATGAGATTTGAAAAATAGTTCTAAATAGTTTCAGGGGTCGTGTTAGTCGACTAACGAATAAATGATGAGGTCATTACTTGCCGATTGCACTATGATTATGTGACATATTATATTGATTTTATGTTTACTTTTATTTTTATGGATTGGACATTAGGTGGCATATCTTCTTCCTTGTCCTCCCCTCTATCTCTCTTCTCCTTCCTCTGCCCTCCCCTTTCTCGTTGCTGACGCCACTGCTAATCTGTCGTCAAGGCTTTTGTTCTTCATCGAGGGAAAGATCGAATGAGGGAAGATCTTCATTAAAAATCTAGAATGGTGATCATAATTGAGGAGCAATTCTTTCGTTTCAAATATGGAACAATGAATGCTCCTTTGTTCCAGACCTTTAACAAGAAACACGAGGACATTAATTCTTCATTCTAGATCAAACAAGGAAGAAATTCCTTTTTCTCGTTCTAATCGAACGAGGAAAGCATTCCTCACATTCCTTTATTCCTGATTGAACAAGGAATGCATTCATAGAACTAGAATGATTCATAATGAATCACCTGTTAAGAGAAAAATATAGAGAAATTAAGGAAATACGATCGATCGAAACCTAACAAAAGTGTTGTTTCCTTTCAGACAATTTTGTTCATTCTACGGTGCTCTAGGTATCATGAATATATAATTGTCTCCTAGGATAGGACGAATTACAAACTTGTGAATGCAACACTTCAATCACAGGGCTCAAGGAATACTGTACTTAAGCAATCGTACAAAGAAAATAGGAGAACGAGATTGAAGGAAAATATATCTTTCTTTGTTCAAAACTAAAAATGATCCACTTAGTTTGAGATTGGTTTGGAATGAAGCTCGCCTGTGAAATGTGAAGGTGATGACGAGAAGATCGATACAACAACCGGTGAGAATAAGGCAGTGGCAGCAGTGAAATTTGAAAAAGGAGAGGGAGAACGAGAGGGGAAGGAGAGGAGAGAAAGAGGAACATTGCAGAAGATGTGAACTCAATATCCAATAATAAAAGATAAAAAATGAAAAATTAATATAATTTGCAAGTAGTCATAATTCAATCAGCAAGTAATTAATGACCACGTCACATTTTCATTAGTCAATTAATGTTCAAGTGACATCAATGATCATTTAGAATCATATTTCTTATTTGGAGACTAAACATATCCATTTTGTAAAATATGAAGGACCAAATATAAATCTAACTCAAACTCAAAAACCAAAACAATTGTCTAATTTACCCTAAAAGGAAAAAAACACGTTTACTGTAATTATTTTTATGTTTAAAAATAATTTTTACAATCTTTAGACGTAAGTGAAAAACTAGATTTGTGTTTTTCATTTTAAAGCCACATAATCAAAAGTTTGTACTTGATTAGTATGAGGCATTTTGGATAAAATCAAAAGTAAAGTTATGAGGGTATCAATATTTATGGGGTTCCATCTTTCATGCTCGTTTGAGCTTTTGGACTCTGATACCATATTAATATTTATTGGGTTCCATCTCAAAACCAATTGACGATGAGAGGAATAGCCTATGTTTAATATAAACTTTTGTTAGGTCCTCTATCTTTTCAGTATGGGATCTTTAACATGTGATTTTGAAGCAAAGTGGAGAATATTAATATCTTGTGAAAATGTGGCAAAAGGGGAGAATATTAATATCTTGTGAAAATGTGGAGAGATTTATTGTCTTAACAAGTGCTACTAGAGTAATTCACCAAACTTAACCATAACAATGGAATCCTAATATGCCAAATAAGTGATTAATGTTGGGTTTATAATCGTAATGCAAAAAAAGTCTCACATTGACTCGGGAAGAGCATGATCCAAAGTATATAGATGAGAACAATAATCTTCATTAGTATGAGGCCATTTGGGTGAAACCAAAAGCAAAGTCGTGAGGGTCCAAAGTGGACAATATCATATCATCGTGGAGATACACGGGTACTTGGGATACCTTTGTCCTTAACAAGTGGTATCAGAGCCACATTCTAAGCCTAGCTGTGTCGTGAAATCTTCGAGTGCCGAACAAATAAGTGATGATTCTCATAATATGTAGTCATGGTGTAATCTGTGGGTGTGCTCCATCAAGGTGTGTCTGGAGCCTTGGCTAAGAGCATGCTCTTGTTGTGCCCGAGAGTAGACGAATGAGTGACTACTTGAGGAAAAGTCTTTTGGGTAAAACCAAAAGTATAGCCGTGAGGATTATGCCCAAAGCGAACAATATCATACCATTGTGGAGATATGAAGGGTACTTGGGGTACCGTTGTCCTCGACAATGAACACGTGTATGATTAAGTTCTATCTGATAAACGATGTACTCTAGGGAAAAAAAGACCTGGATATCGAATATCAGACAAGTGGGGTTGCTCTACAGAAAAAGTCTTGGTGTAGTAGAGAGTTGGACGTGGATGACTATTTGAGAGGAGATTTGGTACGGTGATACTTTATTTGAGAGGAAGATTGATGATGGTTATCATGCTCTTCTGAAAATGCATAGAGAGTTAGTTTTGTTTTAACAACAATAAAGAGGAACCAAGTGACTTTAGGGTGTATTTGGGAGTGATGGTAGAAAAAACGATTTTCAAAAAAGATATTTAAGTATAATTGATTTTCCAAAATCACCATCTAAGTGGTACCTTAAAAATCAATCTTAAGTGATTTTAAGTTTTCCTAAAATCAATTTTTTTTTTGCCAAACTATTGGGAATTAGTGCAAACATATGTTAGTTTCTTTGTTAGTGGTTCCACATTTTTAGAAGTCATGCAAGGTAATTAATTTCATAGTTAGAAGTTTATTAAGTAGAATGAGTGGTATGTGTATGTTGGGAGAGTTTATATGTTAGTGGCTTAGTAGAATTGTAGTGATGGTTTAAAGAGAATTGAAGGTTAGTGGCATAAGTAGTGTATTAGTGGCCTAAGTAGTGGGTTAGTGGTCAGTTATTAACTTTCTTATAAATACTTGTAACAATTATCAATTCAATTAATAGAAGTTCTTCTTTCGTATAGTTTCTATCTTGCTTCTACTCTCTTCTTCTCTTCGTTTTCGTTACATGATATTAGAGCGTTTAAGTTCTTTTTTATGTGTTTGATTTTATTGCTTGTTGTTTGAGTTAGTGCTCGTTGTTTGAGTTTAGTGCTCGGTGTTTGAGTTTAAGATGAACGATGGAAGCATTGTTTGTGTATACAAGCTTACCGATGATAATTAGAGCTACTGGACCATGTATGGAAGCTTTTCTACAAGGGTAGGATTTGTGAGATCTTATATCTGGTGAAGATAGTGTAATTCCAGATGATAGTCCACAAAATGCTAAGGTACGAAGGAAGTGGAAGATCAAATGTGGCAAAGCTTTATTTGCTTTGCGAACTTCTATTAGAAAGGAGTATATCAAGCATGTTCGTGATGTAGATTCTCCAAAAGAAGTGTGGGACACTTGAAAGGTTGTTCACTCAGAAGAACACGATGAGGTTGCAGTATTTGGATAATGAATTTGCAGGAAAAAGTTAAGGTAATTTATCGGTTTCAGAATATTTTCTGAAAGTTAAAACTTTGTGTTATGAAATTTCAGAACTGGACAAGGAGGAACCAATTAGCAATGCTCGTTTGCATTGGTACATTGTTCGTAGATTGCGAAACGAGTTTATGTCATTAATTTATTTCTTAGATACAAGGTTGGGTAAATCAAAATAGTCGATGTGGGAAACCAGGCCATATTAAGTAAAATTGTCGAGTGAAACTTAAAGAAGTAGAAACAGATGTTGATTCTGGTTGTTTTCATCATACTACTGAAGATGTATCTCTTCTTTCTAATGTTTGTGGGAGAAGAGTCAATGCGACAGCTGATAATTCCTTACATCATGATAGGAAAGGTGGACATGTCAATATTGAAAATCGTGAATCGGACGATGTTCCTCGTAAAGATGGTTGTCATGGTTCAAATCTGAAGAAGAATTTTTTTTTTCAGTCTCTCAGGTTGCTGATGCTAGGAGTTCTTTGGAAACAAGTTGAATTGTGACAGAAAATCTGCTCATTCTTGTGCTAAAGATAGTACAAGCTTAAGTTGTTTAAATAATCTGAAGGTTAGCCTTATGGTTGGACTTATTGCTGGGTTAAGATTTGGTTTTCTTGGTTTGATTATTATTTTTCTGCAAGGGTAACTATAAAGGCTACACATGCGGAGTCTTTGTAGATGTTGCAGGTGAAGTTAATCGAATAGTTTCTTTCAGTCAGTTGAAAGGATTCACATGGAAGAAAAGTATTGGAGAAGATGTTTTCCAACATGAGAATTTGAGTGTTATCTACCATCCTCGAGAACTTATATTTGGGGAAACTTGCTTTGGATTGGCCTACAGGTGTGTGTGATTGGACACAACTCAAAGTTTAAGTATTTTTGTGAGCATTGCAATCCAAAGATTACTCATCAAGGTATTGTGGTTGCTAATGTATTTCTTGATGAAGATTTTGAAGTCATTATTGGTGATTTTGACTTAGCAAAGTTGGTTGGTGTTAGAATGTCTAATGTCACTCAAGTTTGGGAGATAACGGGTCATATAGAACTGAAATATTTTGTTATGACATGATGAGTTTGGGCCTTGTTACATGTCAATTTTACTTCTTGTGCTTTGAGGAAAAAAATGATGTTCTACTCCTCGACCATGTCAAGAAACTAAAAAGGGGAAGTAACTCAATGCGACTGTGGATTGTTTTCATATGGGGGAGGCAAAACCGATTACTACTCCTATAGAGGAAGATTGAAGTAATCATAAGTGTACAATGTTGTTGTCCATATTTGTATGCTTGCACTAAGGAGGAGTGTCAAGAATTAGTGCAAACATGTTTTAGTTTCTTTGTCAGTGGTTCCACATTTTTAGAAGTCATGCAAGGTAATTAATGTCATAGTTGAAAGTTCATTAAGTAGTGGATGAGTGGTATGGTTTATGTTGTGGTGTATGTTGGGAGAGTTTATAGGCTAGCGCCTTAGTGGAATTATGATGATGGTTTAAAGAGATTTTGAAGGTGAGTGGCATAAGTACTGTATTAGTGGCCTAAGTAGTGGGATAGTGATCGGTTATTAACTTTCAATGCATAGAACTTCTTCCTTCGTACAATTTCTCTCTTGCTTCTACTCTCTTGTTCTCTTCTTTTTCGTTACACAAACATGATCAATGAAAGGGAAATTCTTTTGACAATGTCAAAAGTGTTTTGTCATCCCAAAATCACTCCTAAATACACATTTAATCCATTAGCCTAGCAAAGAATTTATAACAAGAAACCAACTACCTTATCTATTTGGCTAGGCTCTCCAAGGGTGTGTTTGGTGGTGATGGTAGAATTATTGATTTTTAAAAAAGAGATGTAAGTACAATTGATTTTCTAAAATCATCATTCAAGATTCAAGTGATACCTTAAAAATCAATCTAAATTGATTTTAAGCTTTCCTAAAATCAATTTTCTAATTTACCAAATAGATCAAAGGTAAGAGATATGATTTTAACAATGGCAAAAGTGATTTTGGTCATGTCAAAATCACCTCCCAAACACACCATGAGTCTCTTCCATCCGTTTCCTAACAATTTTATCTTTTGTTTTATGTTTTTGAAATGAAGCTTGTAAACATTATTTTCACCCATATATTATTCTTTGTTTAAAAAATAGTTTTAAAGAACTTGTTTTTGTTTTTGAAATTCGACCAAGAGTTCAAATATATTTCAAAAAAACATCAAACATACTAAAGAAATTGTGAGCAAATAAGTACAATTTTCAAAAACAGAAAACAAAAAGTGAAATGGTTATCAAATAGAACCTTCGTACTTGAACCACCTGTTCCACGTCACTACCCTCTAATTCTCATAGGATCTCAACAAAACAGTTGCAAAATATAAAAAGTTCATAGGCCTGTAATTAAGATTACTTGTGAATGATGTAATTAAAAATTTTCAAAAAATTTTATTTTTTGTTTTTCAAAATTAAGCTCTTGTTTGTGGCATATTCCATGAATTGCAGACAACTAAGGTCATCAAAGTTATGGGAGCTAATTCATTTGTGCTGCTCTTCTACTACATATGCACCACCCTTTTGTCAACGCCCATCTGTTTGTTGGCAGAGACAGATTTCAGAGCTTGGACACTGCCTACTGATATGGCACTTGTCGCTGTTATATATGCGGTATGTACCAACCAGTACTATTTATATGCTTAATATTTATAAATAGAAATAAAAAAAAATGGTTATCAAATCGGACCTAAACTTGTAATTGATTATCCATAATTCTTGTTGTTAATACTCATTACTACGACGTGATTATTGGACAAAAGCTAACCGATTTGACATTATAAGATAGATAGATCCGGGGAGAAGAAAATAGGTAGTTGAACAAAATAGGGTGATGTGTATAACATATCCCATTTCTTGAAGCAATATGTGTCAAATTCATTTATTTAGATTGTGTATCGCTTAGCTAAGATCCCTTTGGTAATGTTCCTGATTGTTGTTTTTCAGTTCTTGTTTTTAATTCTACATGTTTATGTTTTTTGTTTTTTAGTAAAAAATAGAACTGCTGTAGTTATATTTGTTATTTTCTTTTCTTTTTTATTGGAAAAAGAAATAGAAACATGTTTGTTGAACCTTTATTGTTTTTTATTCTCTACAATTTTAAATTAAAAAAAAAGGGTAAAAGTTTTATCTAAAAATTAATTTATTACATTAAAATTAAAAATTTTTACATCTTATTTATTTTTAAATATTTATTATACATTTTATAAGTCAAGAATGATAAAATAATGCTTTTACTTGAAAAAAAAGAACAAAAAAGACAAGAAACTTGATTTTGTTGCAGCAATTTTGGAAACATTATGCTTTAAATTGAGAAACGAGAAACATGAATAATTACCAAACGATTTCTTTTTCAAAAACTGAAAATGAAAAACAAGAAACAAGAAACATATGGCTCGTTTGATGATGTTCCCATTTCTTATTTATGTTTCTTCATTTTTAATAAAGAAAAATAGAATTATATAGCCCAACACCCATGAATTCAATAATGATCAAATAATATTCATATTTATGTATGGTAAAAAATTGGAAATAGAAATAAGAAACAAGTTTCTTCTTTCGATTGTTTCTAAAGTTTCTATACAATTTTGAGAAATTTTCCAAAAAAAATGAGAAACAAAAAACATACTTAATTGCCAAAAGCTCAAGTTTCTTAATAAAATTTAGAAACGAGAACAAAAAAGGGGAACGTTACCAAACGAGCCCAATAAACGTTACAAAACGGGTCCTATATTTTTTTTTCTACATGTACACTTTCTTTTTTGACATTTGTTGTCATGTCATGCCAAATTAGCCAACACTTGTTCAATAAGTATACATCTTCCGAACCTCGTTTAATTAACAACACTGATGTCGAGACTTCATAAAATCACAATTTAGTATGCGTAATTCATTTTTTTTCTAAAATTTAGGGACTAAAATAGACACGGTCCTAATAAAGGTTAATGAAATGGAGTTTGTTTGTTTGGTAGGGAATGATGGGTCAAGCATTCTATGGGATCATCCACTTATGGGGCTTTCGAGAGAAACGGCCTGTCTATGTCTCCAGCTTCAGGCCATTGTCTATTGTTATTGCAGCTGTCTTGGCTTTCATTCTTCTCGGTGATGCCCTCTATTTTGGAAGGTCCAATTTCTCCTCTTTCTCAAATTTTCCCCTCAATAACCTAAATTATGAAAAAAATGAAAAGAAAATATATATATATATATATATCCACACTAACCTTATAATAAAATGATTGTCTATAAAATTTAACACATTTAGAATTATCAGCTCGGTCCATAGTGTTATGGTTCAACACATATTTAATAAGACTAACTAGAAACATGTGTGTTATGCTTGTTTTCTTTCTTTTTTTAATGTTTTAAGATAATATTTAATGGTAAAGTTTAGGAATTAATTAATGAATATATTAAATAGAAAGTAAACATCTTTTTCAAAAAAAAAAAAAAGTAAAGTAAACATAAGGTTAACTTTTGAATAAAGTATATTATAAATTTCTCCCCCTTATGCAAGTTTTTAAAGTTATTGAAAAATTAAAAGACTTGTATTTTTAAAGGAAAATTGTACATTATATCACAGTTTTTAAAAAATTAAAAAATATATAAAATTTGTCACGTTATCTCAATTTTATTGAGACTCTTTTAGACCACTAAAATTGCTTATATGTAGTATAGAAAAATTTAAATGACCATGTCGCCATATTTGTAAATATAGCAATAAGATTATAATTTTGTAAATATTTTTTTTTTATAAAACTTTTCCACACCTATTTAGATATTTTTATGTAATATGTATTTTAACACTTATCAGTCTATAGTCTCATAGACGTTTTAAGATTATTTTAATCTTTTGTATGAGTAGATTTAGGCTCGGCTTTTATTTTACTTTTTATTTTTGCTATATTTATAAATCAAGAATGTTGTTAACTATGAAAGCAGAACAGGGTTAATATTATTTATTCTTTATCTTGGTCACAAGCTAAACTAAATTGTTTTAAAAGAAATAATAATCTTCGTTTGATATCCTTTATGGGTTTAAGTTATAAAATGAACACGTCGTGGTTAAGCTAAAAGCACTTTTTGTTTAGGACAGAAGCATGTTAATTTTCACTTGAAATTCTTATGTTTCATACGTAATATAAAGTATTTGTGAGGAAGCATGTGTAGAGTAGTACTACTTCTTCGAAAGGTATAGAATTAAGTTAACATCAAAATGATTAGTGATTAATTAATCCTCCTTGTAACTTAGGTGAAGAGTTTAACATGACTTTAGGAATGGTGAAAACTAGTTTTAGCTAATTAAAATGAATTTTAAAATTTGCATGATGTTTAGTTTTTTAAAAAATGGTATATGCTATAAATAAAATTACTTCTACTTAGAGATACTTATTCCACAAACACTCCCAACACGTTTTAGGGTGTGTTTGGGAGTGACGGTAGAATTAACGATTTTGAAGAAAGAGATTTAAGTATAATTGATTTTCCAAAATCACCATCCCAGTGATACCTTAAAAATCAATTTAAAGTGCTTTTAAGTTTTCCTAAATCAATTTCTTAATTTGTCAAACATAACCAGGGAAGTGATTTTAACCATGCCAAAATCAATCTCAAACACACGCTCTTAGCACTTTTTGCTCAATTATATATATATATATATATATATATATATATATATATATATATATATATATAGTACAACATGTGGGGTGAAGATCATCGAACTCACAAATTTTTAGTTGGAAGTATATATGTTAATTACCGCTGAGCTATACTCACTTTTGCTCAATTATATTTCGATTAATGTTAGGGCTTTGTATTTGATTGCTCTAAGTATAGTTTAATTTCCTCCCATGGTTGCAGTGTGATAGGAGCAATTATAATATCAATTGGATTTTATGCTTTACTTTGGGGAAAGGCAAAAGAAGCCGAAATCAAAAAGCAGATTGTTGTTGTTGGTAACTTGGAATCCAATCCATACAACGAGGAAACTCGTCCATTGCTACAAAACAATAATCACACCTAGTCCATTTAATAACATTTTCATTCCTATTATTCATATTTCTGCTATCAATGTATTCATATTTATTGACATTTTACGTAATTTATAGGCTTCATCTCAAAACTAATTTGCGTATTATGTCACTTTTAAAACGTACCATATATATTACAATTTATGATGTTCCTTCTATGAGGACACCCAATCCAAGATTACTAGGAGGTCATCCAACCTAACATTACTCAAAACTAAACATGCTTAACTTTAGAATTCTTATGATCGAGCCACCAAAAAAGAAAGTACACCTTGTTGAGTATAGTAGTCACTATCTACTCTTCTAAATTTTTATTAACCATGCTTGCATGATCTGATCAAGATCTCTATCATTTGAATGGGATTCATGAACTCTTCCTATATACTCAGGTGTTACATCATACTAGAGAGAAGAGCCCACATTGTACTTAGAGAGGTTCAATCATGCACGATTTAAAATCTCAAGTTGAACAATTACTACAACAATATAAAATACAATAAATATATTTTATAGAATAACCACTCGCAAAACTATTTGGGTGAGAAATTTAGATTAGTTATTGAGAATAATTAGTGAAATTTTCAAGGATGCCTCCTATTTAAGTTTATGATATGAATGATCAACATTTAATATTTCCAATGATCTTAGTTGATTTGACGCCTTTCAAAGTTACTTTAGTCGTTTTATGGTCAACTATGAAATTCGAAATGTTTTATCATTAATCAACTTATTGGAATAAATATCAAGTTTGAGGATGAGATACAAACTAACTTTCTCTCTTATATAGAGGAAGAACACGACTTTTTATAAAGAAAAACTCTCTCTACATTTATCTCACTTCCTCAAATTCTTTGAGTTTTGGGATAGATGGTCAACCATGAATGACCACCTATTTATAGTCCAAACATATTTACCCATCAATTAAATTTTTATGGTCACAAATACGCTACATATTGGTTTTAGACAAAGCCTAAGATCTAGTGACCATACATTGTCAGATCTTGATCGGTTTGGACAAAGTGTATGATCCGATAGCCACAGTTTTTGCCACATGTATTGAATAAAATGTTTGATCTTAATAGCCACAAATTCTCCAAAGATGCTTGTTGAACAAAGTTGGCAAAATATTTAATATTATTTAACCAAAACATAAATATATGGGCCAAAAGTTATGGACTCATAAAAATTCGTCCAAACAAAATCACACATTGTGCCAACAAAACAAATATGTTCTCTTCATACATGGTGCCAAATTTATTTGGACAACATATTTTGTTTTGACTCGTTAAGATTTGAACAAATTTATTTGGACAACATATTTAGTTTTGACTCGTTAAGACTTGAATGAAACAAAACATATGGTGTACTTTTTTTCAAACATAGTGTCAAACTCAGTTGGATGAATTTTTTTTTTTATTTTCGACTCATTAAAACTTAAATGAACCAAGATCCAAATGAGTTTTGACACCATGTTAGAACAAAAAGTGGATCATCTTTGATTCGTTTTTTAGTTTTAATTAGTCAAGGACCAAACTAGTTTGGCACCATGTTTTTTCAACAAAAGTGCATCATATTTTGTAGGGGTGAAAGAAGTTGGACCGACCTGAAAATTCGAACCGACCCGAATCTCAATTTAGATGTCTATATAAATTAAACCGAAATCAATCCGAACACTCTCAATTCGGTTAGATTCGGTTTGTCTTTAACCGACTACTCGACTAGGGTTTCCCTTTTATTCAAGAAATGCGCCCCCCCAATGCGCCGCTCCTAGCCTCCCCCTGCCCTCATGACCCACGACCCTCGTCTCCCTCTCCAGTGGCCATCTCCAATGACGACATCTAGCGGTGGTGGCAGCCATCTCCATGACCCATCCTGCTCTCTCCGTGAAGTTTGAACAACTCACCTCCATATTCGTGGCGATGATCCATATGCCAAATTACATGAGAAGTAAGAAGTCAACAAAAAGGGTCAGATGATTTCGGATCCAAACAGAAGGAGAAAATGGAAGATTTTAAAAAATGGGGCAAAAATTTCCACACATTTGGATTTCAAGTTTTTGTTTGCATAAATGAAGAATGAGAGAGAAGCCCTCAAGAAAAAATTGCAGAAAGAAAAGAGAGAGAAGCTAAAGGGTTGGAACCAAGAATGAAGTGAGTTTTTTTCCAGTTATGATTTGTTGGGATATCTTGAAGATTTTTTAATTTCTTAAATTTTTCTTTCATTTATTTTCTAGAGCTAAGCCTTTTTTTAATTTTTTTTTATCAAATCAGAGAATTAGAAAGTCGAGGGACGAATTTGAAAATAAAAATTAAAAATTGATCGTGAACCGAATTGAACCGATTTGGTTCAGTTTGGTTTTCGATTAGGGAATAAGAACTGAAAAACCGAAATCGATTTTTCTTTCCTACCCAAAAATCGAACCAAACTGTAAATTTATACCCCTAATATCTTGGTTAATCGAGTTTTAATGAGTCTAGAAAAAAAAAATTTCCTCTAAATAATTTTTTCTAGGGTAAGCACTACTAATATTAAATTAATAAAATTTATGGTGACCAGCCGAATAGATATATTATTTTGTTGAATTCTTTGTCTAATTCTTATAAAGATATTAGAGCTGCAATATGATAGAGTCTCTTCAAGAATACACATATAACTCTTTAATCAACATATTTACATAAATGACTATAATCTAAACAATTTAAAGATTTGTCAAAATAGAAGTCTGAGACTATGTGAAAATTACCGACCTACGCATGTTCATATATTTTTAATTAATAAATAAACAACTTACAAATAAGAAAAAAACCAAATTTTATGCCACCTTCTATATATGATTTTTATCTCAAATTTAAGAAACACTAATCTCTTTCTCTCTCCAAACCCACATACACCTCTTACTCTCTTTCTCTTCCTCAGTCTATCAAACCACAATTTCTCTCTTTCTCTCTCAATAAGACCAGCTGTTGCCCCCTTCCTCGATCCATTCTTTAATGAGAGCAAGTGTTAGTGACCCCACGGTGGAAGCACCAGACGATGGCGACTGGTACCTCAGCTTCTCAACGGTGGTGTTGAAGGGATCGAATTCTGCAACTCTTGTACCTTGATTTTGTTTTAGAAATACAAGAAATAAAAGATATAAGTATTGTAAAGAGGAAGTAGAGAAACCTATCTTTAAAGTCTTTTCCGCTATTTTTTTTGGCAAGGACCGGTTTGTGGGAACCATCTTTTGAAATAGGGAGAATCTTGTTTTCGAGAGAGCTTTTGTAACACCCCAAGCCCAGGATTCGGAATCCGGATTCGGCATCTAGTTTCCTCGAAATTCCCTTGCATCCCCTACGACCCAGTTGCACCACCGTCTAGTTCTAAGTAACTTAGAAAGTGTAAAGCAACTAGGAGGTCACCTAGCTGAAGATTGCTCCAAGTCAAGCACGCTTAACTTTGGAGTCGATTGAGTTACCGAAAATGAAGGTGCACCTTGTTAGTAGTGACTATCAATTCGTCCATAATTGTTCGAAGGGAAAAAAATATTCCCTAATTATTCCATAATTCTAATTTGATAAAAAGAAAATAAAATCGAAGGGAAAAAAAGAAGTATATTCCTTAAAATAGATGAAGTGGGCGGGAAGGCAAATTGGTGTCAAGGGATTGGGTGCGTGCAGGCGGCATGAACAACATGGGCGTGGGCGTGCGCGGGCGGCATGGGCAACATGGGGGGGGGGGGTGCAAGCGGTGTAAGCATCATGAGGCATAGATGAGGTGAGACGACTAGAATAAAAGAAACGGGTTAAGTTTTAAAATAATGACATTTTAAAAAGAAATTACAAAAATAATGTTAATTTAAAAATAATAACTAAATAAATGTAAATTAAATAAATAAATACAAAAGTAATTTAGGTTTTTGAAACTATTGACAAAAATAGGCTAGGTCAAAGTAGGGGTCAAAACTCGCCTGCAATGGACGCTACTTCCGTGCAACGTGTATTGTCTATGTGGTGGGGGAGGTGTCATTGAGTGGAAGTCGCGTATAATGGACGCGACTTCCAAACCACGGAAATCGCAGCCGATGCACGTGACTTCCCCCTTATTGAAGTCGCGTCCAATGCACGCGACTTCCGCACATTTTTCTTTCTTTTTTTTTTTGTTGAAGATTGCATGCGACTTCCTTCCAAACATTTTTCATATATTTTTTTTATTGTTACTTTTCTTAATATTGCAAAATTACTTTTATTAATATTGCGAAATTTTTAATTAAGATGCAATTAATTATTTTATTTTTTGTTATTATATTTTAAATTTTGATTAAAATGTGATTAAAGTTTAAAGTTTTAAAATTAAACTAAAAGCTACTTTTGGATAAAAGTTTTAAAA